AGAGGGTAGATTCAGACTAGATTAGATATAAGGAAGTTTTTTTTCACGGGTGGGGTGACACTGGAACAGGTTAGCCTGAGAAGAGGAGTGGTATGTGGCCCAGGAAACATTCAAGGCCAGGCTGGATGGGGCTCTGAGCAACCTGATCTAGTTGTAGATGTCCCCGCCAATTGCAGGGGGGATGGACTAGATGGCCTTTAAAGGTCCCTTCCATCCCAAAGCATTCTGTGGTTCTATGAAAAACTGCTGTGGACTGTGCCTTGGCTAGGTGAAATAAGGGGAAACATTGGGTTTGTGTTCTGAAAGTAAATGGTATGGGTATTGCTTCTGTACTGTCATTGCAATGTTAGGGAACTGTGTTTCAGGAAAGAAGTTTGAAGAAGGCAAATTTCTAAGTCTCATGTACCTGTGTCTTGACAAATGCAAGAAGGTGAAAAACACCAAAGCATGAGGCAGTCAAATTCAAAACTGATACTGAAACTCATTGCCAAAGGAAATAGGGGAGATAATGACTTATGGAATAAAAAAAGGAAAAAGACTGTATAGGTAACAAAAGCATTTAGAGATGTTTTTGCTAGTAAGTCTTAGAGATATTAAATCTCTTGTTTCCAGGTTTAAAACATTTTGATAGATACTGGTCTGAATGTGTAGTGAATGTGGATAGTGCAGAAGACACTCTCTGGGGCAGACTGGCTGCCTTTGGAGACAAGAGACTATCATATTTGTGATAACGTTTATTCTTTTATGTTGGCATGGTGTACAAGGAAAGTAAGTGGTCTTCATGAAGACATGTCATACATAAGCACTTCTAACCCCTTATCTTTGTAGTTGCTCTGTCATAGCGAGGCGAGTCTCAATAGACTTTTGGTTTTGTGGGAAGAATTTATTCTAGGAACTTGATCTGCAAGAAGATACAACAGGATTTTCATAGCTTATTAGAAGGTGAAGATGTGCATAGGCTTCTTGCATAGTTATATTCATTTTTATTTCTCTTAATTATTTCTGTCTTCTTCTCTAGACAATGATTGCTTTCCAGCAAAAAATTTTAAACTTGATCAAGTGTTTCAGAAGACAATGGCCTTTATTTTCAAACTCTGAAAGGACTACTGTATGTGGAGCAGACTGCATGCTGATGGCGTTGCAACTGTCAATGGCTGAAGTCAATAAACAGGTTGGCGTTCTTTCAGTATGTTCTTGGTACTTAGTACATCTCAAACTTAGTTCATTTACTGGACTTTTTGCTTAGGCACCTACTTGAAATGGCCGTTTTGGTCACTTCATTGTTGTTTTAACTGAGGGCCAGATGCAGCAAGGCACTAAAATTAATATGATTAAGCAGACTGTTGAATCAGGGCTTCGAAAAAGAACTGCAAGACAGATGGGAGGATGGAAGTGTTTTAAGTGTATATCTGAGTTCTAAACTTTAATATTAAATTTTAGTGTATTTTTCCTGATCATGTAACTTCTTTTTATTTCTATCAAATGTTTCTTCTGTGCTGTAGATCAGGGTGGGAGAACTATGGCATTTGGGATGCATCTTTTTTTCTGAGTGCTCTGAAAATGCTTTGGAATGACATGAGAAGAATATGAGTATAAAACTGATTTGGTGTAGGCTGCATGAGTTGTGCTTGCAGCAGTCCATTCTTGGCTTTTTCCTGAGGCTCATCAGATGAAGACCTATACATATAAGTTGTTAGTGTGCGCCCACTACCAGTAGGAAATATAGGGCCTTCTTTGCATGTGTGCAAGAAGTGTCTGTCAAATGATGGATAGGAGATGTAACCCTTAAGTGTCTCTGTAAGAAGCACTGTGGGTTGTCACAGCTGAAAGGTTGGGCATTAGCAGTCATCTGAAACATACCAAAAACTGTTGCAACATACAGACAGGCTTCTGCATGTGTCTCATCTAATGAGAACAATTGCAGTAGTCACTTTGATAATCTAAAGATATATTTATAGGTCAATAAGCTTAATTATTGATGAAAATAAATTACCGTGGTTGGAAGACTTACCCAAATGTTGCATGGTAAATTAAACATGTAGTACAAAAAACCAAACACACCATAAACAACAAAACCATACCAAAACCAAACACCCCAAACCAACAAAAAAACCCAAACAAACAGAAAACCTGGTTCAGTTTGTGCAATCCTAGTTGCAACGTATTATTTTAAAAATTACCACTTGTACTGGAAGATGCTTATAACTTGGAAGAAATATTTCCAGAACCACTCTTTAACATAACTGAATTCATCATCAGAAAAAGCTTTGTAGTCTAAATTATGCAGAATGGGGATATCTCTTGTCTAAACATTAAGTATAAAACTGGTCAATTCATTCCCACTGTAATAAACATTACAGCAGAAATATTAGAATCCCAAGATTCTGCATTTGTAATTCATAGAATGTAATATATTCCAGCCAGGATCCCAGTGTCCTCACAATACCTATGTAGGTAAAACTAGAAAATTATCGTGCATCAAAATGAACTCTTGGAGAACTGATAAAGGACAATAATGCAAAACTACCTGTGGAAGCAATCACTGTTTGTCGTGTTTGTTGTGATTCTCAAGGGAGAACTACAAACGTTTTTCCAAAGCCAACTCTGGGAACTAAAATGTGTTATTCTGTTGGATGCCAAAAATTACGGACATGATAAAGACGGTATTTTTATGGTTCATTGCTACTTCTTTCCTAACAGCTTACAATAAGCTCTTTCCTTTCCTTAGAGGTAACTAGTTTATTCCACTGATTACACTAGTTGGTCTGATAAGAAAAATTAGCAGTATGCATAAACCTTGTCTGGCATGTGTGGATTAAAACTATTTTAGCACTTGTATGTGCTGCCTCCGAAGTTCAATTTCTTCAATTGGATGTCCATTTTGATGTTTATAGCGTTAAATATGGCTGTTTTATTTTGTTCAGCACTGAAACTTCAAACTAAGATGCAGAATATTACAGTTGTAGGCATGTCCCTTGTTAGGTCTCTGATTTAAGTACGATAATTTTGTATTGTTAACATAACACCTGTAGAATAGAAGTCTATTATGATAGAGTCAATTACTGTAAGAACAATAACTGTACTTAACAGGCTATTGACTGGCTGGATTGAAAAAAAAACTACCACAAACGACAAAAACCTATTCTCTTTCTTTAGGAGCCTGGACAATTTTAATGAATTTGGTGTTTTAACTGTTACCTGTACCTGTAGTAGAAATGAAAAATAACAAAGCTTTTTGGAGAACTCCAGAAAAGTTTAAAAGTCTTATAATTCATTAGTCTTAAATTTCACCAAGAATAAGGGTAGCAAACAGTGTGATAAACATTGATTAAATAGCAGGGATGAAAGAAGGAAAACAACAACAACAAAAAAAATCTACACTTTGAATTCCCCTGAAAATACTTTGTGTTTTAGCACAGTTGTAGCCATATGGCATAAAGACAAGTGGCATATGGTCTGTGGTGAAAGTTAATAACTTTTACCTAGACTGATTAGTATAGGTCTAAAGTATAGGAAAACTTTCAAGAACAAGAACATTTCTTAACATTTGAAATAGAAATAACAATTCTCAAGTTTAAATTCAGTTGAGGGTAATTGCCTTAAGTTGACTATATTCTTTATATATAAAGTTGACACAAAGGATGAGGAGAAGGCAGAGGTACTTAATGCCTTCTTTGCCTCAGTCTTTAATAGTCAGACTGGTCATCCTCGGGTTTTTCAGGCTCCTGAGCTGGGAGATGGAGATAGGATGCAGAGTGAAGTCCCAGTTGTTGAAGAGGTGGCAGTCACTGACCTCCTCCTCCACCTGGATGCGCACAAGTCCAGGAGCCAAGATGGGATCCACCCGAGGATACTGAGGGAGCTGGCAGAGGAGCTGGCCAAGCCACTCTCCATCATTTACCAGCAGTCCTGGTCAACAGGGGAGGTCCCGGATGACTCGAAGTTAGCAAACATGATGCCCCTCTACAAGAAGGGTTGGAAGGAGGATCTGGGGAACTACAGGCCTGTCAGCCCGACCTCGGTGCCAGGGAAGGTCATGGAGCAGATTATCTTGAGTGCCGTTATGCAGCAAGTGCGGGACAACCGAGGGCTCGGGCCCAGCCAGCATGGGTTTATGAAAGGGAG